TTAATTATTGCTACGGATATCTAGTAAACTAATCCAGACTTTTAGACCGAACTAATCTAAGTTATGTGTAACCCTCAGTTTTATTTCTATGTTATCTAATCTAGGGTTCGTGTCGGATCTACCTAGCATTGGTTATTATTTTTTTAAGTTGGCGGATTTTAGATTTTTGTTTAGAGTTTGATATTTATTTCTTGGTTTATTTTGATTCTAATGTTTTCGACCATGGTGAAAATCAAAATTCTTCTAAGTTCAAAGGTTTTTCAAGTGACATATTTTATTAAAATTTTCACGAGAAGAACCTATATTTGAGGTTCCCCTCCTCATTTGCTTTTATCATTTGTTATTTGTTTTTTTAACATACAGGAAGAGCTATACATGGTATATGAAGAACATGAAACTTAAAACATGACTTAGATTGAACATGAAATATGAATTGGATTATACTTGAGAGATATGTACACTACACATGAAATTAAGTTAGTTGAGATTCATGCTTAGGCTAGAATTGGGCTAGATTGAGCTAGGGTTAGCTTGGGTGGGCTAAGGTTTGAGACTAGCTAAGGCCAGCTAAGTTTAGCTCGGGTCAACTAAGTTTAGATAAGGCCAGTTAATATCAACAAAGGTTATATTAGGTCAGCTACAGAACAATAAGGTTAGCTAAAATCAATTAAGAATAGTTAGGTTGAGTTTAGGTTAAATTATGTTGGATTAGGTGATTGGGCTAGGTTGGGTCAAGCTAGGCTGGGTTAGGTTGGGCTTGGTTGTGTTAGGTTGGACCAAGTTGGGTGAGGTTTGGTTGGACTAAGTTGAGCTTGGTTGGGTTGAGCTAGGTTGGATTAGGTTGGGTTGGGCTAAGTTGGGCTAGGTTAGACTATGTTGGGTTGGGTTTGGCTAGGTTGGGTTAGATTGAGTTAGGCTGGGCTAATTTGGGTCGGACATGTTTGAGCTATGTTGGGTCAAGCTAGGCTAAGCTAGGTTGGATTAGGTTGGGTGGAGCTAGATTTGGCTACGTTGGATTAGCTTAGGTTAGGTTGGGCTATATTGGGTTATGTTGTGTTAGGTTGGGCTAGGTCAGGCTAGGTTGAGATAGGTTAGATTGAGTTAGGTTAGGCTAAGTTGGGGTAGGTTAAGCTAAGTTGGGCTATGTTGAGTTAGGTTAGGTTCGAGTCAGGTTTGGATCAAGTTGGGTTAAGATGGGTTCGGGTCAGGTCAGGTTCATGTTAGGTTTAGTTCGGGTCAAGTTGGTTTTTGTTCAGGTCATATTGGGTTCATATTAGGTTCGAGTCAGGTAGAGTTCAGGTCGTGTCGGGTCATGAGGTTAATGTCAGGTAGGGTTCGGGCCAGGTCGGGTTTGGTTCAGTCATGTTTGGTTTCAATCAAGTTGGGTTAAGTTGGGTTTGAGCTAACCTAAGGCTAGCCTAAGCTCGAGCCAAACATAATTACTTCACTTAATTATTTAACTTGAGTAAAATGAAATACAAGGAAAAAGAGGCTTACCGAACCGACAAGCAACCACCACAAGCATCGTAGAGGAAGAGAAGGCTGGTAGGAGCAACGTAGGAGAGGAGGGAGGAGGAGGAGAAGAGGAGGCACATCAAATGAGAGTGAGCATGGGACTATTTTTAGGCGGCTAGGAGCGGTAGAGTCGGTGGCGGAAGCGGTTGCCTTCCATGGATCGACTCTTACGACCATCGATTGAGGCAAAGATTGACAGTCTTGCTTTCCCCGACAATTGGAGCTCCCACGGATCACCAATAGAGCTACCGAAGGCCAAACAATACTTTGATTGACAGAAATCGAGTGGGAAGTGCACGCAAGGACCAACACATGTGTGCTTGTTACATTTGTGTCGTGAGTGCACCACATCAGCTTGTGTTTATAGGATTGCACTTGCGTGCTGGGGGTCACCTAGGTGGGCGCGGGCGTGCATGTGTCACCGATACCCTCTGGATTTTGGCCAAAATGACAACTTAGTTAATCTTTAAAGAAAGAAACTCAAGGAATCCAGTGATAATGTTGATTTTCGGTCAAAATAATTCCCAACATGGGAAAATGCGGGTCCCACCCCAAAAAAATTGAGTTTTTGGACAAGAGCTCCGATAAACTTTAAATTGGTTAATTTTGATGTTTTTGGTTCAATTTGATTGTCTTTTATGTTCATTTTGAGGGTGAAATTATAATTATTATCCAAATAATCCCAACTATCGTTTATATTATCATAATCTAAATGAGCCTCAATACGGAGTCCAATTTAGGCATGGAAGAGGCTCATTTAAAAGCTTTTGATGATTTAGATTGATTCACGGAGTTCGTATTCCAAAACGATGCTCCATTTGAAAAATCTTATGTGGGATGAATTTTCGTGCATCAAAGCTCGTCAAGCAAAATTTTATGTAAAAAATTGTGAGATAGTCACCGAAACTTATGTCATACTATTCATGCGTTGATAATAAACCAAATGTAGTTCAAGATATGAAATTTCAAGCACTACAATGATTTGTGAAGGAAAAGATAATTTCATAATATAAAAATGATAATTTTAGAATATTCCCTTATTGAGTTGCATTTTGGTCCAACTTTAGAGTTTGATTTAAGTTAATTACATTTGATTTCTATTTTGCATGTTTTATTTTAAGTTTATTTTATATCCATGAGGTGAATGAATGATTGACAAAAAGTGAGCAATGGTGTTCAAAAGATCATATATAGTTAGTTGTGGTGGCTGAAAGATTATACCTAGCAATGCTGATCAAAATATGATAATTAGGCAATGGTAGTCAAGAGAACAATAATCTTGTGGTAATGATTAATTAAGCAACAATGGTTAGTAGCCATAGTTAAGCTACAATAGTTGAACAATTGTAGAATAACGAAAATGGTCAAGTAACCAAATTTTGACAACTGTGGTCTAGTGATGATGTTTGGGAGATCAAAGTCGAGCAACAGTGATCAAACAATGATACTTGAGTAAACATAATGAAGAAGTGGTGGTTAAGATATTATTGTGGAGAGAAAATGCTTGAGCATCTTTGCTCAAGCAACAATAATTTGATTTAGAGATGGTGAAGCTTGATGGTGGTGGTGGTTTAATACATGTAAATTGATGGCAACTGTTGCACGATGACAATTTAATAGAGATAGTCCAACGAATTATCAATGAACTTCAGACTGGGATTATCTTATGCTGACGATCGAGAGATGATATTCCAATAAAGACAATCCAACGACAATAGTCTAATAATGACGGTTAAGGAAGAACAATATGTCAACATTGATCAGACAATGATGGTCTAACAATAATAATTGAGTGGTAGTGAGTAATTCAAAGATAATACTCTTATAATTTGATCATATAAGATAAACAAATTTATAATATCTCCATAATATAATAAAGAAGATATATATGATACGGAGAAATATAAAATATATGAAATGTGAATTTATAATTTGACAGCCTATAATCAAGGTCCCAAATATCCCCTCCATATGTTTAAAAAAATATGAAGGCCGAAATAGAAAATTAATATATTTAGCTTAATCACATGAGATTAAGAAGTCTAAACATCTTCAGACTGAAATAGAAAATGGATGTAGAACAACCATATTAAAATAATTATAGTTTCATACAAAATTCCTTTGCCATTAAATTATTATATTGAAATAAAAAAGTTTGTGTTTGTTCACAAATTTAACATATTATTAAATTTTGTATAAACTATTAACAAAATCACATACTTTTGTCAACATGACTTTGCTTGATATTCCTAATTGTCGCACACCTAAATTGCCTCCAACTGATAATATCATTCATAGTGTTAACTATATGTTTATGTTACTATTCAATCATTCAAACTAATATAAACATAGCCATTACAAGGTGTCCAACCCATACACATTTTGGAGGGCTAACAAGCCTCAAATTTATTCTTGAAATCCTAAGTGTTCGACCAAAGCATGCAAAAGAAGTAGATTCAAGCCATAAGAAAAATTTTAAAAAAAAAATCAAATATTTAAAATTGGATGCCACATTATTTTTGAAAATTGAAGAACTAATGCGTTCATGGACATTCATTAAAATGTACACAAGAAAAGATATTATTTTGCACATTGGTCTCTTTTTAAAATAAAATATTATTTTGAAAAGATATTATAACTTAGCACTGTGTTTCTTGCACTATTTTAGCAATATATACGCACACAAACACACCTATATAAGATAATTGAGAAAATTGGGTTGAACTCAATTGAGCCCATCTTCAAACTCATGATTATTAAAATATTGTTGGAGCATCAGATACTCAGCACACAATTCTTACCTATTTACCTATCTCACATTTATGATAAATTATTATTATTTGTGTTCGGAGTTCAATGATATGACGTCACGTGTCAAATAGTCTTCATCACAATACACTGACATTAGCCAGTATTAAAAGCAGCTGGGCCTACTTGACACTTGGTGCCCCATCATTTTTTTCATGTTTAGGGGGGTGTTTGGTAGGTATTGATTTAAATTAAATCCTGCCAAACATAAGAGCATCGAAATTAAATCCAATGATCCGTCAAAACAAAATATTTTTGAGTTCTGTCATTAATGTTCGCGTTAAATAAAGGACGTAAATTTTGATTTATTAAATCAACCTATGATGTAGATTTAATGACGTCGCTCACCATTATTCACCGTCCTTCACAAGATTTGCAGATTGTCCGTTAAATTTGAATTTAATAAGATTTGATAAATTTTATTTAACGTAAAATAAAGTTGCAGCCTTAAAATTTCATATTTACATATAAAATACATAAGTTTTTAATATCGCATAAATAATAAGATTAATATCACATTTAAAAAATGAAAACACAACCATTGTTAAAGTCCCAAAGGTGCTTTGTATGAAAATATGAAAGTAGGTGTAAGATATGTAAATAAATAAAAATTGTGTTCTTAACCGTTTAAATTCCGGTTATTAAAAATTTAAGTTTTACGTCGAACAGCTGGCTGTTGGCCATGGACCTCACGCGGACATCTGGTTCCTGGAAACTGGAGGGCTGCATCCCCACGCAATATGCCAGACGGGCGCGGCGCTTTATGTTCGTCAAACGCTCCTCCCGGCAGCGGACTCCTCGTCCTTCCCTCCAAAAGGCTCCGCGCAGGCTCCTCGTTTCGACTACGGGAACTCAGGAAACCCTAACTATCTGCAGTGGTTGGCTTTTTGTTTACAGAATAACTTAATATCGGTTTGGTGGAGATTGTAATGTTCAAGTGATGGATGAAAGGGAGATACCGATTTCATCTGAAATCCGCGATGGGGAGACGCCGTCTAGGTACTCCTTTATTCTTCCTACTGTCTGCAAACATGGTCCAGCTTCCAAAATTTGTTTTTTGTGATCGAATATGTTGTTAGCAAATAGAGCTGGGGTTTGGTGATCTATGACTTTGTGCATTTTGATAGTCTTGAAAGTTATGTCTCTTTCCGTATTGTATGGATTCTGGAACTAGGGCGGCAGTGTTAGATGGATTCGGGATGATGCCGTTGTTTTGCACAGCTGAACTCTTTTGATTTGCATTACACGGTTATAGTCTGATAGTTTTAGTCAAGAATAGGTTTCTTTGATATTAGGAAGCGTAAGGTTTCATTTATGTTGCTAAATCAATGTTTAGGAGAACACTTGACATGAATGAAGCCTGGCATTGAAAGTTTGAAACTTAATTATTGTATACTTAGTAGAGATATAATTCTTTGATTGAGGTGAACAAGTCCATGGGAAGAGAAGATCTACTGTCTGGTTTAGTCCTTTGTCTACCTTTTGTCAGCATTACGTGAATATTGTTACCAAGAATTTTAGGATTTTGTAACCTTGTAGTGAGAATGTTTTCTGTATATATTGATGGAAATATGCGATTCCATCAAATATATTTTTTTTCAAAGGTTGAATCAATCAAATAACAAAATTTGAAAATTTATAAATACAATTTACATACCTCCAGCCATTGAGTTGATCTCATTTATGATTGATTTCGAAATCTTCTAAACCTTTTTTTCACTAAAAAAAATGATAGTGCATGTTTCTTAGTAGAGAGGGATTTGGGACCCAAAATAATAATTTTCTATTTTTATTTCTGTTTATCACAGTAAGTTTTAAAAGAACTGAAAGGTCAGTTTTAAAAACTAAATTAAAACAGTTTAAAAAACTTTTTTCACCATGGATAAGAAACTTGGGCCACTTTTAATTACGGGAAACTAACATAATATATGCCTACCTATTTGGAATATTCTGCAATGCGTGTGGCTTTGACATATATCGTGCTAAACCTCAAACTAAAATTTGAAATAGTGACTTAGAACTTCTTGTATTGTCTGATCGAGAATATATTGATATGATTTATGATGCTTAATTGCAAGTAGTTACATACTTATATGTGCTCGTTAGCCTGTTGGTGATGAACATTTGAAAATTTTTGAGGAATGCTGTGTTCATTTTATTAATTCTTAGATACCCCAACATTATCATATCGTACTAGCCATAAAAAATTTAAATAATTTGTTAGCTGTTGTGCCCTTTTCGAAACCTAAACAAATATTACAATGCTTCAAGTGCAAAAAAATTGGGTGTCTTAGCATATGATATGTTATCCATTTTTTGGTTGGGATAATAATATTGATCATGATCATGATGGTTATATGTGTATTTCTCTCCTTCAATACACACCCACGTTCATGAATTTACTTGCCTATAATTATTGTACTTTTTTGAAAAAGCTTTGTATTCCCGCGTGAGATCATATTATATCTTTATTTTCCATCATATCTTCATTATTCAGCGCTTGTTATGACTAAAAGGTTGCAATTTTTTTGCAGCTTCTTTTTCAATACATAGCAAACCTTTGGTTGATCCTAATATTTTTTTTGTCTTCAAAAACTTTTTTTTTTCAATGGTCAATATTATTTAACTTATGGTTGCTATCTTCTAAGACTTTTTTTTTTTGATATGGTAAGGATTATTCTAATTTCTCTCTTTTATCCTGCATTCTATTTCCCAACTAGGTGCGAGTTATTGTCTATGGTGAAAAAATACTCGAACTTCTCAGAATCAACATCAGATGATCAAGATGCTTCAGATTCAAAAATGGATGAAAGGTTTTGGCATGAAGTGTTAGATATGTATTTTGTTCGTGGTGCTGCATCAAAAGAAAGGCTGGAGGATGACCTCATCTTCTTTGTTAGAAATATGGTGTGTAAATGAATTGACTTTAAGTGTTGTTTGGTTGTATGTTTTTAAAATTCATGCTTCTTAAAAGTACATGAGTTATTTGGTTGGAATCAAATGCCTTAATTTTCTTGTGTTTGTCAGTATACATTTCAAATACATTATAAAATATTCATCTCTTTGATCCATTTGATTGGCTCGAATGGGGCTAATAGTGATTGGAGGGGGCTCGGGGAAGGTTGTTGGCGGTAAGGGGTTTGAGTAATGCTGCGGATAATTTGAGTGTGCTCAGGAGAAAGACAATAGTAAGAGAACAAACCAAATACAACTTGGAGGGCTTGTGGGAGGTCAGGGATGATGAGTGAGATTAGTGGAGTTCTTTGACAATGGATGGAGTGAAAGATGAGGCAATAGGAAGGGGCAAGGCTTGTTTGATGTGGGGAGACTCGAGTGAACTTGGCAAGGAGGAGTCTTTGATAGAGGTTTGCAGTGGCGAGAGGGTCTTTTGGGAGGTTGATGACGGTGAGAGCAGCTCGGGGTAGTTACTGATGACAGGTGATAGGAGGGTTTTGGGGGGCTAGCAATGGGATTTGGAAATTGGATGATTTTATTGATTACCAAATGCATGAAACAAGGCATGTTTTGGGTATTTTTTAGTACTTCAAAAGTTTACTGTGTATTTATTTTGCTTTAGCTAAACTCCAAAAAATTTAAAATCCAGGTAAATGGAACACATGATCCTCCTTATACTTTTGACGAAACAATTGCTCAATGTATTATATTTTTTCCAGCTCATTTATCTTCTATTCTAAGCTGCTGACTTCTTTCCGCATATGATTTCAGAGATTTCTTCCACTCTTTCCCCATC